TCATGGGTGTTGGTACTAGCCATGTGCAGCCGCTGGATACAATAAAAGTAAAAAATAAAAACTTTTAATTATACACTGTTAGGATTCCCATCTTATGGGTTAACCAATCAAAGAAATATATTGCTAAATATATATATATATATATATATTATATTCATCAATTCTTCTTAACTGAAAACCCATCTCATGGTTGTTAATTTCAGTAAACATTTATTCATCAATTCTTCTTAACTGAAAACCCATCTCATGGTTGTTAATTTCAGTAAACAAATCAAATATATATATATATATATATATATATATATATATATTATATTTATATGTTTATAAAAATTCAAATAATTTTTATACCATAGATATTAGGGAAAATTATATTTTGGTGACCAAAATTAAACATAATTGCTATATAGTGACCTTAAAGTCAAGAAAAGGTGAATATTGACCAATTTTGAAACTTAATTGATATTAAGTGACCATTTGATGGTTTATTACCTAAATAGCCTTCTTATAATATATTATTATGTAAGCAGACAAATTTACCGTTTACATTAACCTAAATAAACAATTACTTAAATTGACTAACAAAAAGACGACAGATTATTAGGGTGAGTCTCTGAAGAGAAGATCAAGATGGGAAAGAACTGATGATGAATATTATACATCATTTTCTTCAAGATTCTAAGAGACATGACGAGAAAATTGTAAATTTTCTTCTTATTCATTATTTTCAAGGTATAATTATTATACTTTACGAGTTGATTTGTCTGAGAGATCTTTCTTAAGATATAAGATTGTAATTTTTAGGAATTTTTAATACTACTTAGTTATAATTTAAGAAATAATGACTATTGTTGATTAATTTCATAATTTTACTAACCGTTAAAGGGTGTTTTAAAAGTATGATTTGCCACTGTAAATGGCGTTCATGTTGGAGAGTCTTAAAAAATAAATAAAGGATGAAAAAGAGATAATGTTGATAAAGAAATTTTAATTTTTTAAATTGGTAAATTGTAAACTAAAAAGGAAAATATTAGATGGTTGAGAGTCTTGAAAAATAGATAAAGGGTGAAAAAAAGATAATGTTGGTAAAAAAATCTTAATTTTTTAAATTGGTAAATTATAAACTAAAAAGGAAAAAAAAAAAAACGTTGGATTAAAAAGAGAGAGAGAGAGTAGGAGGATGAATTTAATGACTTATTATTTATATTGAATAGCAATTTTGTCATCTAAAATTTATTTTTAAAATATTTATTAAATTTTTAAGTGTTTTGACCAAATTATCCTTAAATGATCACTTAATATCAATTAAGTTTCAAGATTGGTCACTATTCACCTTTTCTTGACTTTAAGATCACTATATAACAATTATGTTTAATTTTGGTCACCAAAATATAATTTTCCCTCGATATTATCTCAAGCTCCAAACCGATGAAACAGTGATAAACTCCTATCAAAAATAAATAATTCGTTGTGGCCCACGGAACTTGTTTATCATTTATACACAGTGATCTCATACGAACCCCATCATTATAAAAAATAATTTATATGGACTGCATACATAACACTGTTTTATATATAGCCTTTGTCTAGCCAGTGCGTCCCACACACATATATACATATTTATGTGTGTGTGTGTGAATCACCATGAAAAGGGTACAACCTTTGTATTAAATTATTAATAGATAACAATGAAGCCCATCTAATGGACTGTTTTACACTAATAATAATAATAACAAAAAGATAATTTCCACTGGGTAGTCTTTTTTTGCTACCAACGGCTGCTCAACGCACTGACCCAATACAAACCTTTGGTACACAATAATCAGATGGGGTCTAGATTAATATAACACATCAATTTATTCATGCTATCAAAATTAATTCCATGATCTTGAATAAAAATAATCAAACATTAACTTTTATCAAAAAAATCAAATCATTACTATGATTTAATAAAAATCACATGGGTGGCTCTGATACCAATTAAAGGCACAGCGGAAACATGGTGGACCCATAACCCACAGGTCCCAGGATCGAAACCTGGCTCTGATACGGTAAAGGAAACTTATACCTTTAGACGATTAATCTACTACGAGAATAAATTGGTCCTCCTTTGACCTTGAACACCAGTTAACGTTCACCTTTATATCCCTCCTTATTCTGTATTCTATAAGATTGTATCTCAATTACCGAATCTCAACTTGAGAGATATATTGTGTATTTAGATAGGGCTAGAGATGAGGATCAAAAGGGATTCTTATCCTAGCTTCAATTAGATAGAGATACTATCTAATTAGATAGGATAGAGTTATGATAACTCCATCCTATCTAATTAATTACAATAAATACCACAATAATATTGTAATTGTACTATAGGATTCAGAAATTACAACAAGGCCCTTTTATACTAAATAACTATATACAAGTCCCTCCACTACCGAATATCCATAAGTAGCCCCTAGGAAAATAAATACTGTCCCACCTAAGGCATGCTTCCTTCTTATATTCCTTGAGTAACCAATTTAATCCTTATGATCACTGAATTTCTTTTATAAAAGAATTTTCAAAATAAATATTTTTCTAAATAAATAATTTAGTAAACATTTTACTAAAATGCCCTGCCAGGTTCCAGTGATCAAATTTATTAAATTGCATCAAACTTATTAAATTGCATCAAGGGGATATTCTAACTCTTATAAATAGTGTGGATTCCATGTTGAGCATTTGTGTTCCCAGAACTCCAATATTAGCCACCCAAGATACAAAGTATTGACCTTAAAAGATCTCACATGTTGGTAAGTCAAAGTGACCAACACTGAAACTTGAATCCACTAAACCTTTCAGGATTTAGAGCTTAATATATTTAGTAGATAAGAATCACACCAAAATAATAACAGTAATTTGTATGGTGTGATCTTATGGTGATTTAGTTCAGTGTACTCCAAGCACACTAACACATTGCCTTAGAGTCAACTACCCTAATGGTCGAGACAAACCATCCTATCTTATAAAGGTGAAGTATGTTACAGTCTTACAGATAAAAGTGCCCAACTTTTATCACTGACTGTGAACAATGCCAAGGTGCAAGAAATCGGTGAGCCCAAATCTCCTATGTGTAAATCTCATTTATACACTTAAATCACCTATAATGTAACTTGAGGACAATAATGCATCTCATGCAAATATATGTAAAGCCCAATGTATGAATATCATATTTATAAATAAAATATCGAATTAATATTAATTAATTGACTTGTAGGACATATAATCTCAACATTTTTGTCATTTCATCTCAATATTGTTTTTAGGCGTTTGTATCTGGTATTCAGGTCTAATATTGATCCGCAATACTAGGATAGACCTATTCACCTATAGTATGATGTCATAACGACCATTTTACTCCTAATTCTTCATAATGACTGTTTTGACCTTTGCTTCCTCATTCGTGTATGTTATGACCTTTTTGTCCTTAGTTTCCGCAATAGTATTGGGTTTAAGTCTTGTTGACTCTCATCGTGGTTCTATTGTTGCCTTACAGATAGTTTTCATCTCTAGTGATGTCTTTTGCTTGCTATTACTTCTACATTTCAAACTTGGTATCGGGTCGGGATTTCAGGTCATTGTCGATAATGCAATGGATCATGGGGTTCAGGGCATCACAAGTCAACAGCTCACAATGGTTTCACTATTATAAAAAAAAATGGAGGAATATAGTGATATACGATTACAAGCCCTCTCACAGATGACTATGTAGCCAACAATGAAACATGTAGCCTTGACACTAGGGTTACATCATAATCACCATAATACCCTTAGTAGCCAAAATAATTTAATTTTCCCAATCAAATGTCTAGGGCTCCACCCAACCCCAAACGATCAGGGTCCCCAAACCCAATAGTTTAGAAAGAACTGGGATCCATTTGTATTAAGATCCGTACTAATTTGCAAGAGAGATTTTTGGTCACATATGAATGTAGTTTGAACCGCTGATCAAATATTATATATAATTATCTCCTTAAATATAAGTAAAAACCTTTTCGTTAGGGTTGATGTATCATTATATTAATGTGACATGTGTTTTTATAATATTAAAAAATAAATCCAAAAAAAAAAAATTTGACTCATTTAAACTTGGATCGAGATCGAAAATCAGTTAATCCAATTTAATATAATCTAATTATGCCATAACATTACTGAAATGGAGGTTCCTACTAACATGTGTAAGGAGCCAAGTGTTTCACACACACACACAGTACTAAGAGCTTTCTTAAAGAAATATATCATGTATGAGGAGATTTTGTTTTGTGGACTTACGAGGAGATATTGTCTATGTTTTCTTCAAAAGATATGGGGTGAGCCAAAATATAACGGACAATTAGAATCATTCTCTTACTGATAGGTACAAACAAAGGATGCCAATTATTACATCACTTGCTGTTTTATTTTTTTGATGTCTCAAATTAGTTGTCATTTAAAAAAAGTAAAAGTAAATAGATATTAATTTTTTTTTATCATTATTCTTTATATTTTTAAATAATTACAAACTTGACAATATATATACTTAAATTAAAAGGATATATTGATAATTTTTTTTTTAAAAAATAATGCATTAATTATTTGGGTACTTAAAAACTTCAAAAAATAAATATGGAAGAGGGCCTGCACATATGCTAAGTGCTGATTAACTCAATTTTTTATATTAAAAATAAGCAAAAGTATGCAATTTGGATTGAATAACCGAAACCAACTCGAACCTGCCCGAATTGCAGCCACGGCCAGGATAGATTTTCAAAATTCACTGATTTGACAGACATTGGACTCTTCAAGAGGGGAGGGCCAATTATTTTCATTAAGTTTTTTCTGCCCTCCTAAAGTCAAAAGTGCCAACTATGTTAAAGTCGTCCTTTTATTAATGCAATTCCGTCATTGTTGATTATCTTCGTTTTGCCTTTATTGATGGTTTTGTAGATGTGGGCTGGATTAGATTATATTAGTTTATATTAAATATAACGTATGATGAGATATATAATAAAGGCTATAATAAATTTACAGGGTCGAAATCACTTACACGTATGCAATTGTATTATTATTTTTTTATTTTTTATTTTGCTTCTACAGTCACATTTGCTAAGACCATATATACGCCTCGTAATAATTTCTCAAAGCTCTCTGTTTCTCCGCCAGCAAAGCCATTACATCACTTGCATACATATTAAAATATATATAAACACATCTAGTATATATCAACCATTAATCTAGTACTGCAAATAGAATCAAAAGTTCAAAGTCTTCCTATCCATATCAGCATTGCCGTAGTAAAAATGAAGAAAATAGCAGAGCTGGTCTTCATCCCCTCGCCCGGAGTCGGTCACCTCACATCGGCACTGGAGATGGCCAACCTCCTCATCCGCCGCGACGAACGGATCTTCATTACATTCATCATAATGAAGGTGCCCTTTGATACCAAGACCAGTATTCATACCCAATCAACGGCTGAAGACGCGAACTCACGCATACGTTTTGTGGAACTTCCTCACGAAGAACCAAGTACAGAACAGAAGTCCCGTTTCCACATCATGACCACCCTTATAGAAACCAACAAGACTCGAGTGAGAGATGTTGCTGCCGGAATCCAAACAAATAGGCTTGCTGGGTTCGTTGTTGATGTGTTCTGCAGCAGCATGATCGATGTGGCCGACGAGTTGGGGATCCCAACCTACATCTACTTCACGTCCAGTGCCGGTTTTCTTGGCCTCATGTTTCATCTCCAGTTCATCCAAGATGACCAAAACAAAGACATTATTCAGTTCAAGGACTCGGATACTGAGTTATCAGTTCCAAGTTTTGCCAATTCAGTTCCGACTAAGGTCTTGCCGTCTGTGATGCTGCAAAACCAAGATGAGTGCAGCAGGTTCCTAGCACATGCCCGAAGGTTCAGACGTACAAAAGGCATCTTGGTCAACACGTTCATGGAGCTAGAATCCCATGCAGTGAAGTCCCTATCTGACAGTAAGACCCCGCCAATCTACCCGGTGGGACCTGTACTCAACCTCAAGATTGGTGATGGGAGCCACCAATCCGATGCTATCATGAGCTGGCTCGACGATCAGCCACCATTGTCAGTGGTGTTCTTGTGCTTCGGGAGCTTGGGAAGCTTCGGTAAGGAACAGGTGAAAGAGATTGCGGATGCACTAGAGCGTAGTGGCTACCGTTTCTTGTGGTCCCTGCGTCAGCCTCCACCAAAGGGAAAGGTAGAGCTTCCAAAAGAATACGAGAATCCACAGGAAGTCCTGCCGGAGGGATTCTTGGAACGGATGGCAGGGATGGGAAAAGTGATTGGCTGGGCGCCACAAGTGGCAGTGCTGTCACACCCGGCGGTGGGAGGGTTTGTGTCACATTGCGGGTGGAATTCTACGTTGGAGAGCGTGTGGTGTGGAGTGCCCATGGCAGCATGGCCTCTGTACGCAGAGCAGCAATTGAATGCTTTTGAAATGGTGAGAGAGTTGGGGTTAGCAGTGGAGATCAAGATGGACTTTAGGAAAGATCCCAGTAGAGATATTAACCAAGAGCCTTTGACGGCAGAGGAGATAGAGACTGGGATAAGAAAAGTAATGACGAACGACCAGGAAATTAGGAAGAAGGTGAATGAGATGAAAGAAAAGAGCAGAGAAGCCATGATGGAGGGTGGGTCATCCTACATTTCTCTGGGACGTCTAATTGAGGATGTGATTAAAAGTATGGATTTCCACTCTTAAAAATCTGAATAAATGATGCCTCCCAGTGCATGGAATACACTTTCCTGAGAACCATGGTGGCCTTCACTTCCTTTCAACCGGATACATGTTCTCCATAAGTTGCATGTGAAGTAAATGAAAACAGGAAGTCATATCTTTAATGAGCTATCAAATGCATGTATTTTGTTTCAATGAAAAATGATACTAACATTGGCTGTTCACTTAGATAGGATTTATATACATTGCAGCTATTGCTAATCCTATTGTATTGAGGTATTTCCCCTGAGATAACAATCACGTACAAAGCAAAGGCTATTTTCTAGAAAGTTATCTTCACACACACACACACGCGCGGGAAATGATTAAAATGAAAGCTAATTTCAATTGTGTGCCTGTAAACACGTTATATAATTCTTTGAAAATGTAGCTTACTTTCTATCAGAAGAAACAGAGAGCAACATAATAGTCTTAAACAAGACAGCATTCTTTTATCATCTCCCTCTCCCAGATACAATTGTTCCAATTATATAGAACTCAGCTGCACAAATTTACTGTACAAGTTGCACCACAAACACATGTATATCAGCATCAAACACAAGAACGAATACAACAACAGCAAACAGTCTTTTCTCAACTAGTTGGGGTTTCTTACAAGAATCCTACTTTTGCATTCTAATTTATTGGTCATAACCACATGTTGTAATGTTTTTATTTACTAACTGTACCCATATAAATTTTGGACTTCCCTTTCATCTAGCATTACCTTCAATGTGAACCATGCCACTGTTCTTAACCGGTAGTCTTTACAAATGTCCAAACCATCTTATCTTTACAAATGTCCAAACCATCTTAATCAATTTATCTCATTTTATGTCCAAAAGAAAAATGTGGAATAAATTGGATAGGGAACATAGTTGAATATTTATTATCACAAATTCAAAAAATTTACTGAATTCAGTTTAGAATAAACTAAACTATCATGATCTTCAACTAGGTATAGATATATTGTAAACCCAGTCTTTAGTCATTGGAAACGAATGCAATAAAACATCTCAAGAGGCCAAGTCACTTGTGCCAGATGTTTCTCTCCTGAGAATGGATTATTATGTGACCAAATCTTTCATCTTAATGATGGAGGATGTAACAAATACCAAACCTAGACATTTATACTCCTCAAAGCAGCTCCAATTTTGCAAGGAAAATGTTGCTTCTACTTAATGTGGAAGAAATATTCTACAATAGAGGAAGCCGGATAGAAAGCATTAATATGTTTTAAAAGTAAAGGCCAGTATGCTTGTAAGATGAACCTTATAAGGAAGTACAGTTTACTACTGCACTTCCTGATCCTTCAAAGCTATAATACCATTATAACTCTCGCAAGACAAGCTCTTCTCCACCAGTAGAATTGATTTAGATCAGGAGGGAGTTCAAATCCAAATGCCATTCATCATGCATATATGTCAGCTGTAGAGGTATATGTGTGTTTATATTTTAGGGTTTTTTCTTCTAATTTTAGGAATTTTGTTATTAAGTATCTACTTTTATATTTGTCATTTTGACAATATCCATTTTCGAATATACAGTAATTAGGGTTTTGTCGGGGTTGCCCACAATTTTGCCTATAAATATTTGTGTATTAGGCTAAAACTAAATCTTGGGCAATCGAAGGGATGATTCATTAGCAAAAATTGCATCACCCTTTCTTGTACCGTCTTTATTACAGGCGTATCCGTCTTAATCTTCATGCCTAAAGTCAAAACCTCAAACAAATTATGGAATAGTAATAGAGCCAAAACAAAATTAACTGAACAAAACAGATTATATGGCCCAAAAAGAATTAAAAAACAATCGATAGATTAAGAACATTTGCCCGCCAAATGAACAGCAAAGATTGTCAGACTCTGAATAAAAAAAAAAAAAAAACCAAAAAAATCAAAGGGAAAAAATAACAGAATCTTAACCAAATCATTTAGTAAATAATAACAGAACTCACAAACGAACTATTAGGTAATCAAAAGAATTAATCACATGAACATAAATAGAACTGACAGAAGAATAATAATTATACAATACAGATTACAGATTACAAAACCTAACAACAGGGGAGTACCTATCAGTATAAAGCACTCGTCTTAGACGGGTTCTTCGACAAGCTAAAGCGTCACCACCGCCTCCGGGTCCATCTGGAACGTCCCCTTTGCATCGGATATATATATATAAATTTTATATATATATAATTTTAAAAAGTGAATTTGAGTTTTAAAAAAGTCAAATTTGAATTATAAAAGGTAATTTGAGTTTAAAAAGAGTCAAATTTGAGAGAGAGAAAAAAAAAAAAAAAAAACCCAAGCCAATTTGAGTTGAAAAAAAGTCACCAAGCATTCATAATGGAAAAAACACTACAAACATGGTTTGACTTACTGTCCACCCATCAATTTTTAAAGCTATACTACCACTATAACTCTCCCTAGACAAGTTCTTCTCCACCGGTAGAATTGATTCATATCATGAGGGAGTTCAAAGCCATATACCATACATCATGCATATACCTATGTCAGCTGCAGACATTAATATATATATTTATTTATTAGGGCCTTTTCTTCTAATTTTAGGACTTACGCTATTAAGTATCTATCTTTATATTTGTTGTTTATCATTTTTGACAATATCCATTTCTGAATTTATAGTAATTAGGGTTTTGTCGGGTTTGCGCACGATTTTGCCTTTAAATAATGCTCTTGTAATAATCCTAGGATTATCCACGCTAATTGATTGAATATTTATTACTGATATACGATTCCCATCTTAAACTGCTTTTTCTCTGCTCTTCTTCTCTATCATCCTCTTCTTGCCTTTGTTCTTCTCTCTCCTTTATATCTCTTCTATCTCATGCATCGGTTGGTTACAAAGCTCTTTCTTATCCTACATCAAGAACATAAGACCTAGGTGACTGAGGGAGATGTTCGGATGACCGAAAGATTGAAAAAAGAAAACAGTTTTCATCACTAGCAGTCACTAAATAATGTGAGGAGTTCTCAAAGTAGTTGGGGAAAAAGCTTTGTTGAGTTGAAGTAATTGAGTCGGGCAGTTCTCCCATATGATTCATTATCTATGGATAAAAGGAGACCATTTATTTAATACTATGCGAATTAGTTGGGATTATATGTCTGTTCAAATTTATTCACATAAAAAATTCCCCACCAATAATTGATTGGCTTCTAGTGGAAATATTTTACAAAGACAGGCCTAACGAAAATCGAGTATAGGAATACAAGTGAAAATAGAATTGGGGATAATTTTTGGAACCATGCAACTAAACCTCCTATTGTCCCAAATTGTTACAAATCTAAACTATAACCCAAAGCAGGGGACAAACCAAAAATATATAGCCATGTTCTTGACTCCCAGTATTCAAATAGATTCGTAAAAATCGATCGTTTGGGCTCATAATAAATTAAAAGTTGCTCCTGCTACTAAGCCTAGAGCCTTGAGTATAGTACAAGGATATGTTGTAGGCCAAGCCCCCCTCATTACAAGCACCGGAAATAGAACTCCATGCTACCCTGGCAGTAGAAGAATGTTCCACATCACTGATTACAAAACCTAGACATGAGCTTTCATCTTATTCTTCATAAATAACTCTAGGTTTTTTAAGCTTGTATTGGCATAACAATGTATCCTCTAGGCTATGGAGATTTGTCGAATGTAATACATACTAATAAAATTTCGTAATCTTCTAGTGCTGTGTCGATTGATTGAGGATAATACCCATAAACTCATCTTCCATAATACCCACGTGACCACCAACATCATCACAATGAAAACCCCAACACCATTTTCTCTATCTTGTAATATATGACATGTACTGCCAGAAGTTCTTATAAAATTAAGATTAGCTTTTTATTAAACCAAAGTTCATAAGGTGTCTTATTTGTGTAAAACCACAGTAAAGCAATTGAACCTAGCTTATAACCATCAAAAGGAAAGCCGGTATAAAAACCAAGTGTAAAAACGAAAAATGAAACAAAGAAAGATAAAATAAATAAATAGAAGTGAAGACGACTTTGGCATCACGCAACTAAACTTCCTATTGTCCCTTGCTTTAAATCAGGTGACAAACAGCAAACGTCAAGTGACATTCTTGACTCCCATAAAATAGAGGGATTGTAAACATAATCCATATCAAATAGATTCTACGGAAAACTACAGTGGCTACCGAAGCAAGTAACCCTAACTTTTCATATTTATATTGCAAAGAGTCAATTTTTACACTATTATCAATATACCAATATCTCAATGTAAAGTTACCAATACTATGAACGACAGAGTACCAAGTAATTTGTAAAAGGAAATAAGTGCATCCAAAATGAAAACCTTTGAATTATTCCCAGTCATTAATATATTGACCATTTGGACAACTATCTGCGAGCAGTGCAATCAATATGATATACTACCATGAATTTTACAATACAATGGGGTGAATAGTGGTTTAAACATCATTATACTATGAGAAAATCCCAAACCCGATAAGTATAACCATTATAGACATAACATACTATTTTTTCTAGGTTTACTATCAACAAGCATACTGTATTGCATAATAAATCATATCCATTTAGTGAGAGAAATATGTTTTCAGTTTTAAGCTTGCATATAGTTAGAACTTTTATCAATCCATTAATTAGATGTATCTTCACTATTAGTAGAGACCATCCCAATTACATGTTAAGGATGAAGCTTGCATATGGTTAGAACTTTTATCAATCCATTAATTAGATGCATCTTCACTATTAGTAGAGACCCTCCCAATTACATGTTAAGGAAACACAATAAATTAAGCTAGGAATGCACCCTTCTGGTGTCACCATAAAGTGCTAGTTTAAAGAGGCATTGCCATGATCCGGGTAAAACCTCTAATTAGACACGGACGGTTAACATTAGGTGGAAAAAAGAGGGAAAAAAAATTAAAAATTCATACTTATATTTATCATATAAAATTCAATGTATGGAGTATAAAGCATCACAAATTGAACAACAGAGAGTAGCGTACCTGCTTAAACCTCTGAAGCATCACAAATTGACCAACAGAGAGTACCGACCGCTTAAATGAATCCTTAGTCTGCTCCGCCTACATTTCAATGTTTTCCCCTCCGCCTACATTTCAATGTTTCCCCTTTCAGAAACAATTGAGTAATTGACAATTGATGATAAATAAATACAATTCTAAAATGAATGAAATCATATGATGGAACTGCAGGTCAAAACTATGATTTTTATTTTTTATATCTATTAATAACCACCAAAATGCAGAGAAATCGATTGTGAA